TTTTTTTGTTGTTGTTGTTGTTTTTTGTATTGTTTAACTTGGTGTAAATATTCATACTCAAGAACAAACTAATTTTTAGGGATAAAAATAAACTTTAGCCACCTTAAACATTATGCAGAGCTATATGTTGTGCTCAAAAGCCAAGAGAAGCACATTTCTTGATGGACTTTACACTTCTATTGTGTAGTTGTTGTTTTTTTCATTTCCTCACTGTGATTATGAAGTATTTGATCTAATATGTCCAAATGTGAGCAGCCATGTCTTGGGAGTTCAGCAATTGTAGTTTTTGAAATATTCTGCTTTGAAATAATATTGCAAATCAAGCAGTATGGCATCTGTGAAATGTTTATTATTTTAAGGCTGAGTGAATATGGTGAAACAGCTCTCCATCCCTTTAAAAATATATGTGAATTATATGAATGTGAATGAAACATGCCTTCATCATTTCAGTATGCTAAAGCCTACAGTATCTGATGGTATCAAACACATTTCATCATGCTTGAGTATTGGGATAGTTTTAGGTTTATGGTCTTTTTGTTTTCATTCAGTTATTTTCCACTCATGCTTATTATAATATTGCTTTGCTCATGGTATAAGAGGGAAAATGAATGGTTGATATGGTCATTTAGTAGAGTATATTGTTCCATTCTACTGTCTGTGTGTTTAAATGTGAAACTTAATAAATAACTTTGCCTGCTTTAAAGGTTTTGAGCACCTTTCCTTTTATCACTGATGTTATACAATTTTTCAGAATTGTTTACGTTACCTTAGAAAAAAAAAAACGACTTCCTCCTTCAGTTTTCTGAAAGCCCATCCACAGTAATGCAGTTATGAAATGAAAACCAGAGAAATAATTTGTATATTTTTGTTAAAAAAAGTAGCGTATTATGTAATATGGTCAAAATTATTAATCAAAAGCATCTCCCATAAAAAGAGCTTAACTTGTATAAAACCTGTAATATATATGATCATGCACACACAAAGCAAAGTTTTGCTCAAAAAGTGTCTTTGCAAGCTATAGGCACATTCAGTACAAACTGCATTGAGAAATCATGAGAATTTAAAGGGGTCATGAACTGCATTTTTTTTATTATTTAATAAGGTTCTCTGAGGTTCACTTATAATGCTATAGTGTGATTTTACATTTTAAAAAAATCATAATTTAGAAGTAATAGGCTATTTTCTATGCTGTCTTTGAGCCTCTCTGCAGAATGGTCTGTTTTTATAGACGGGGTGCATTCAAGACTCACAAGTGAACGCCCACTGCTATGGTTGGCTAAGAGTTTTGCATATTTAAATAACAGATGGACGCTGCTGTGACGTACTCTGAAAACTATGACAGTGTTTTAGTGCCACGCAAAAAAAAAAAAACTAAAATTACAAGATTAAAGTCGAAATATTTAGAGAATAAAGTCAAAATTACGAGAATAAAGTTAAAACATTTTGAGAATAAAGTCTACATTATGAGAATTAAGTTAAAATATTTAAAGAAAAAAGTCAAAATTATGAGAATAAAGTCGAAATGTTTCAAGAATAAGCCTCTGGGAGGCAAGACTGCAACCTTTAGCCAAGAAACTGGAGGAGAGGCTTCACTATACTGAATAAATGACTTTTTTGACGAGCTTATAATTTAATGAATCGACAGCCTATCGGCTAATCTTCAACGTGCTTTAAACTAAACAATAGTTTTGGATTGAACTATTTTCAGAGTTTACACGGAAAAAATGCTGTTTTATAAGAGAAGTCACAGACTTTTTGCGAAAGGTGAGATTCAGTTTATGGCACTTCTCATTCATTCCTATGGGATCCGTAAACAGTGATTGAGTGTCGCACAACTCTGACTGAAATTCAATTACGTTAAAGGGTAGGGATGCACCGATACCACTTTTTCCAGTACTCGCCCGATACCGATACTTTTATTTTTGGTACTTGCCGATACCGATGCCGATACCTATATTTTTATTACATTTGTAAATTTTTTAAATATTGGGTACAGAAACCAAAAGGGTATGTATAATGTTAGTTGGTTAACTTCATTTATCAAATAGATACAGTCAAACCAAAATATATTCAGACACCTTCAACATATCGGGCCCGATACCGATACCAGTATCGGTATCGGTGCATCCCTATTAAAGGGATAGTTCATCCAAAAATTAAAATGATTTTCTCACCCTCAAGGCATCCTAGGCTTTCTTCTTTCAGACGAATACAGTTGAAGTTATATAAACAATTGTCCTGACTCTTCCAAACTTTATAATGGCGGGTGTTTTTGTTCAACAGTCCAAAAGAAGTCCAATAAAGCGCATCCATCCATAATAAAAAGTGCCTCAGATGGCTTTGGGGGGTAAATAAAGGCCTCCTGTAGCGAATCGATGCGTTTTTGTAAAAAAAAAAAAATCCATATTTAAAATGTTATATACACTTTTCTCTAACTTCCGTTAACTGATGTGCTCGCAAGCCATTCCGGGTGGATGACGTAGGACGTATGCGTAGTGCACTTTTTCCTTTTTTGGAATTTTCAGTGTGAACACACTACTCTCACTATTTATACTACAAAATGGCATAGAATAATGCATAAGTATGCCAATTGGGACACACTTAGTGCACACTCAATGCGCACAACTGCCCACACCTTGATGACATAATTTTTGCGGCGCGCACCTTTGCATTTGTATGGACGTGGTGAGTATAAACCTGCTGTCTGATATTTTGGGAAGTTTGCTCACCCCAACCACACTTTTTCAACCAGCTGTGCCACATCCTCTCTGTAGTGTTTCATCTTTAGTGCTGATGAGGCTTACCACAACAGGGTCAATTGTGTGCAAATTTAATGATGTGGTTGGAGTTGAACATGGCAGAACCTATGCTCAGTGCAGGGCTGGACTGAGGCTAAAATTTGGGCACAACTTCACCCGTGAATGTTTTGCTGGGGTTATAGCCTTAAAATGGAGTAAATAAATTCATAAACTATTAATGATGGATATTATTGAATGTACTGCAAAAACAGTCAGCGTCTGAACAGGAACAAGGAACACAATTCCTACTAAAGGAATTGTTCATTGTTCCTGTTCAGACGCTGACATGATGACAGCAAACGCAATCAGAGCCAGAGCCCCCAGAACCTCAATCACAATCCAAACACAAACAGCCAGAAGGGGGAAGGTGGGGAGACAACACAAATGCAATAAACTGTACAGGGGCCCAGATCACCTAACGACAGCAATGGTTACTTGTAACTTGTTTTCAGATCCAACAGATCTGCAGAGGATCCTGTCAACATAAAATTCCTATGAATCAGTGGATTAAAGCAGTCAGTTGAATGAATGACTTAATGAGGCAGCAAAAAGTGGTTTATGTCCATCTACTGGTCCTTTTAGTTTCATATTTAATTTAGCATTTGAATTTTTAAAAAATCATTTCAGATTTTTGTATTCAAAATGTCTTTTCAAATATATCACATAACCTATGAGAACGCATAGAACCACTTTATATTAAATTTGCACTGACCCTACCCTGCCTTGAATTTGTTCTCGTCAATATGTATGCTTCATATTAAATTGTTTAAATGTGTGTCAACACGAGAAGGAGCACGTTCAAAGCCGAGTCTGTGTTCCTGGCAAAATGTTTTTCTCATTTTAACATTTTTAGAGATTTTATTTCTTGCTGCTGTTGCCTTTTGTATTAGAAAAATAATAATAATAATGTACAAAATGTATTTGAAAAAAATGGGTTGCTTTTTCACTTTCATATCTGCTTTTGATACAGTAGTATTTTTAAATTATTTTTATAATATATTTTGATATGGAATTTGATGATGTTATTCCTTATATTTTTTTTAAATGTTATTTACCTTACACTCTAGAAGCAGCAAATGTTTGGTGGACTTTATTGTTCACTAAAAACTGTACCAAACGGTGTTTCGGATAAAATATATCTAAATTCCTTCTTATTACCTCACTGTGACTGTGAAGGTTTTGATTAACATCTATGTTTGTGGCTGCAGTGAATGAATATTGCAAATCAAGCTCTATGACATCTGTGAGATGTTGATTATTGTAGTACTGAGTGAATATGAGTGAAACTCTATACAACAGTAAAAAGTGCATGTGAATTAAATACGAGACAGTCTGCAAGAGTTTTCACTATTGGGAAAATGTAAGGTTTACTGTTTTTTTCTTTTGTTTGAGTTGTATTCCACTCATGTTTAACATTGATTTGCTCACGGAATGTGAGGGAAAATTTACATTATCTATACAGTATGTTGTTCCATTCTACACTCTAAAAAATGCTGGGTTAAATATAACCCAGCGGTCAAAACAACCCAATAGCTGGGTTTGTCCCTTTTTAAACCACCACTGGGTTATATTTAAGCCAACATTTTTTAGAGTGTACTGTCTGTATATTTATACATACCTTAATAAATGACTTTGTTTATTTTAAAGTTGTGAACCATTCCTTTCCTCACTGAAAGTGTTGAAAGACAAAGCAACTGTGACTTGTTCTAAATTGCAGCGTAAGCTTCCTGTCTCAAATTACCTAAAAAAACATGACTTCCTCCTTCAAAAAAAACAACAGAAAACCTATGCACCATTCTGCAAGTTTAACCATGACACTTTAACGTTACATGTATTAACATGAGACTGATATGATAGAACTGCAGTCCATGTAAAGTTATATACACTCTCATAAACATGATATATTTTTGTTATAATTTAGACATAATTAACAATTTTTGCAAAATGCTTTTTTCCAATATGGTCAAAATTATTAATATTTATCTATGCACTTGCAAATCTACACACATTTAGTCAAGTGTCTATGCAAGCTAACAGTACATTCAGTGAAATCATGAAGATTACAGCACACAAAACAAAAAGCTTGACACAACAAAAATCTTATCTGATACCGAGACAATTTTGTCTGAAAAGGAAATGGAACGTTTTGTGGTTTAGAGTCTCTGCATTGTGTTGGAACCTTTAGTTTGATTAACACCTTTATGAACAACAGACACAATGGAGAAAATAATTTTCTTCTTCTGTGTATTTTCTTGTTGGATTATGCCAAGCTCATCGAGTGGTAAATATATTCTATTTCAAACAATTTTAAATTAACAAATCAACCTCAAATATACTAGCTATTAACATACTTTGGTTACACTTTATTTCGATAGTCCACTTAAGACATTCTATTAACTATAAGTAACTTTGTAACTACATGTCAACTACATGTCAACTAATTCTCATTAATTTGCAACTACATGTCTACTAACTCTCAGAGTAGACTGTTAGGGTAGGTTTAGGGTTAGTAGAATAAGTTGACAAAGAAAGTGTTAGAAGATATTAAGCAGACAGTCTACTAATACTCTAATGACTGCTAGTTGTCATGTAGTTGCAAAGTTACTTACAGTTAATAGAATGTCTAAAGTGGACTATCGAAATAAAGTGTTACCCATAGTTTAAAATGATCTGTTTTCATCTTTATAAATGTCTCTCCAGATGCGTCAGTGCGAGGATCTTCTGATTTGTTAAGGGTTCAGATGGGAGAAAACATCAGTCTGAACTGCAGCATGAGAAACCGATATGAAGTCGCCTGGTATCACCTCAGATCTGGAGAACTGGATCTACTGATTTCTGCAGATAAAGACAGAACAGGAAGAACTCTCCTGATCAACTACAATTCAAACAGCCCTCGACTGAAAATGACTGCAGATAGTTGGGTCACCAGAGCCACGCTGGTTATTTCTGGAGTAACAGATTCAGATGTGGGTCTTTATTTCTGTGGAACAAAGTCTGACCCTCCAGAGATGTTCTTCAACAAACCCATCAGACTAGAGATCGAGGGTAACAGATTTCAGTTTTTATATCAAATCTTCACAATTTTGTCCTTGTGGGGGGGGCAGTCAAGACCTTACAGAGCGATCTTTTCTGATTTAATCTATAAAAGTAGTTTTGTTGGCATAAATGAATATATTTAGGTTGATTCAATGATGCCGGATAATATGTTTTTTATTCGAATAAAACCAGTTTTCTGCCTCATATTTACAGTATACTGAAAGAATATTTCATATTCCTTTCATATTGGATATCAGATTAAATTTTCAGGCCACGAACAAACACCTACCAACCTACATTTCTTGATCTGAAAAGAAAAAAATTTCTAAAGGCCCTGAAACGCCAGAAGCTCATCTTAACCCAATCTTATACAACAACTAAAAACAGTTCTGTGTGTAAATTTATCATATATTTACAGGTCTTATTGTAGTACAAGAGACAAAAGAAGAAGCTGACAACACAGGTAACATGTTGATTGTAATGTTGTATATTCCATTGTTAATGTTTTAACTTCTGCGTTCTGTATTGTACTGTATTTTGCAGTTAACACTTTCTGGAGGTACAAACATGAATAAATCTTGTCTCTGTGTAGACGGGGTGACACTGACGGAGCGTGTGCTGATGTTCGGTGGTGTTGGTCTGGCTGTGTTGGTGTTTTTTCTGGCTACAGTCATCGCAGGAGGAATTATTCACTATCACGGCTGGCAGAAAGGATGGACCGCAGCCAAACGCTCATCTCTCATGAATCACAAATCAGCTAAATAACTTCTATTTCTGCTTTATTTTACAGTCTAACTCAATATATCCCTGCGATCTGCATTGTTTTGCTGTACCACAAAATTGTGGCTGAGATGCTTTTCCTGTTGACTTGATTTACTTTCACTTCAGAGATGTTCTGGCAAATGTTGCATTGTTTCAGCACCAGTGAAACTTACACAATCATTAATTGTTGTGGTTATTATTCAGATTTGTGGTTCATTTGTGCTTGTCAGTAACATAAAACTAAACATATATTTAACAGTTAAATATAAAAACACTGTTACTGCTACTCTTTTTAATGCAACATGTTTCAATATTCAATATACACAATATTCAAGCCAGACTAACATGTTTAAAGCAACTTATGTTTTTACCTACTTTAATGTAGAGATTGAGCCGATGAGTGATCTGTCAAAACCAATATGAACAAATATATGCTTTAATGTCATTAGATCAGCAGGACTTGTGATAAAAAGATGTTATTAATACGTACATACAAGCTATTTTCGGGAGAAAATATAAATGTAAGTCTCTTCTGTGGCACATAAAGCTTTATTAAATAATCAGATGTCTTAATGTTAAATGTATTATTTACAGTTCAAATTGTAAAACTGAGAAACTATATGTTTGTGCATTTTCTGACGGAAAACCTGATCATTACCAATGCTAAACCTCTTCAAACACTACAGCTGAATTTTCATGATTTCTTTGGGTTCCTGCAGGAGTGGATGGTAATGAGGTGGTAGATAAAAAACACATTTATACGAAATAATAGAGATCACTATCACTGTGAATTAATGTGTAAGCGTATGAAGCAGTGCGTAACACCTTTGACTTCAGTATCAAGAAGGAAAGAATCAATACCAAAGACTCTATAGGAGGCACAGAGTTGAATGGCAATTTACATAAAATTAACAGGTATCCTGGAAACATCCAAATGTTTTAAAACATTTTTAAAACATCAATGTTCATGTACTGATGTTAGCCAACCAAAACACTGACAAGCAAAACACTTTATTAACATTATAAGGGAATTTAAACGAACCTATTAAAAAAAGAAAGAAAAAATCCATGTCATGGCCCATTACATTGAGCTGGATGTTTGTTTAGTCTTTGGTGAGCACTACTTGGTAGATGAGTACAAATCTGGGCAGCACTCCGCTCCTTCCATAAAATGAAAAACAGAAACACAGGACAAAATGGGTGAATTGCAAGAGCATTGCTGGAAATTATGCAGAGGAAAGGAAGAAGTTAATGAAGGAGATGAAAGGGCAAGAAAAGCAAATACTAGAATTAAGGATTTGGCTGCTTTAAATCCAGAAATAAGTGCCAGGTCAGTTTTGACACATTATCTAAAAAGCAATGGATAAATTAGTCGGATATGTGGAGTTATGAATATGCAAGCAATTACAGCAAATGTGAAGTAAATATCATGTAGGGAATAATCTGGACTCTGAGGCTCCAGTTCCAGCTGAATACGGAAGGTGCAATTAACAGTACATTATATAAAATTGGAAAAAACCCTGAATGTGAATACTGCAGCCAACAAGAAACAGTTGATCATGTACTGCTTCATTGTATGAAATACAACAGTAAGAGATGTCACCTTATTCAGTCATTGAAGAAGGTAAAACATCATGATTTTACTTTATCGGGTTTATTAGGGAAAACACCTAATAAGATATATGATTGTAGGATCTCTGTCCGAGAACAGACCCAAATAAACTATGGATTCACCATGTGAATTATTGAACAGACATATTCCAGAAGAATCTAAAGATATCCCCCCTTCAAGCCATCATGAGGTCTAAACTAATCACCCCATCACATGACGCCAATATTCTGGGTCGACTTCCTGTCAACCCTTGGCGTTATCACCTCAGAAGAATCGGAAGAGTGATGAAAAACTAATCCAATCAGGAGACAACAGAGATCTTTTGTATCGAGGACTAAAGAGTTCTTTCACAACATATAGATACCTTGTGATGTCTTGTGATCGCCAATTTATGGAACCAGTGTAGGCACAGGAAGGATAATTCGCTGATACCCTCAGGCCTGCAAAACAACGGATCTAAAGAACAGTGATAACGTGATTCAATCAAACTCAGCAAACCACCGCGTGACTTTTATGGACCTCAGGAAATTCCTCCCCTCTTCCTTTCTCTATCAACAAAAGAAACAGAACCTTGCATGGCGATTTTAAAAGACAATCACTTAAAATCATTTAAAGTATTGGAGCAATATACTCCCAAATAATATGCTTTCTGTTTGATGTGTTATTGGAACCTATGATATTTTAATCTTTGCCTTATAACTGTTCCTGTTAGCAGATAAAGCATTTAATATGTGTGTAAGATATGTGAAGTTTAGTATCGGGTGAAAGCTTGAACATTGGTGTGAGTGAAAAAAAAATTATATTCGGCATCATTCTCTGGTGATAATACTTTTATAAGAAGTTATTAAAACTTGCAGAAATACTCCCCACGGGGAGCATGTGACTCATGCATGATAAGGGAACAGTATGGGGTGTGGCTAAGCCCCGCAGCCAATATCTGATTGGAACAATCGCCATGGGATGGACCAAAATCAGCCTGCTTAAAACCGGACACAAAGCCTTCGTGGCTTGCTTGCTTGCTTTCTCTCTCTCAATCTTTGGCTTTTCGCCTTGGTGATCGCGCTACAAAGCGCTCACATGCTGTAACATCACGCGAGCGAGACTCCAGAACTCAAACACTTCAGTTGAAACTCCGCGTCTGCCGAAATCTTCAGTCTAAAGCCAAGCAAAGGAACTCCTGGAAGAACGCCACGCATCACTCTCCGTACCTAAGGCAACCGACTTTCGAAGCTCCTAAGTCACAAGGCAACCTCCATCCACCAGAGGGTTCTCCCAAAACGACGTCATCCAAATGACAGATCAGCAACCAATCCGCAGCCCCGGGATTCCCTCAAGCAGCCAACAAGGGAAACCCCTCTCAGCTGTCACCAAAACGCAAGTAAACAAACAAAGCTTAATCTCTTGCTGAACTGGTGCTGAATTAATCTTAAGCAGTAAAGATAAGACAAATCTCTGCTTTATGATTCTCTCAGGTTGCAAGTTAAAGAACTGTAGCGAATATCTTACCTTTTTGGGACTTAATGCAAACTCCGTTAATCGTCATCCTGTGTGTGTGTGTGTGTGTGTGTGTTTTCATTAGTTTAGTTTAATGTAATCTAGAATAGCCAATAAAATCCTGTTTCATTATAAGAATCATTGTCTTGGGTCGTGAATTTAAAGTTAAACTTTGCCCAGATCCAGTTACCTAGCTCGTAGCTTATAAATTATCACAAGCATGTATTAGCCTTTGGACAGGGAATAATACAAATATCCAAATTGTTCAGATACACTAAATTCTACTAGACGCTGGACGAATAGTGGATAAATTCAAATTTGGAATCAGTTCTAATCAGGTTGATTTTGAATCTTCAGATTCGATTCCCCCTCTGAAA